ACAAACCATAAGAGACACTTAATCTCACAAAACAAACGGAGGGTTGCTGGGGGGAGGGGGGTCAGGAGAGGGTGGTGGGGTTATGGACATTGGGGATGGTATGTGCTATGGTGAGTGCTGTGAAGTGTGTAAACCTGGCAATTCACAGACCTGTACCCCTGGGGCTAAAAATACATTGTGTTTATAAAAAAAAATAATAAAATTAAAAAAAACCTGGAAAAAGATATTCAACACATGGACAATGAAAATTATAAAGTATTGCTAAGAGATATTAAATAAGACCCAAATAAATAAGGAATTCATGCCTGGGAAGACTCAGTATAGTCAACACACAAATTTTGATCTATTCCTTTTACCATATACAAACATTAACTCAAAAGGACCTAAAAGACAATCTAAAGTTATAAAATTCCTATAAGAAATAATAAAAGAAAACCTTTGTAATCTTGTATTAGGCAAGAATTTCTTGGATACAACACCAAAAATACAATCTATACAAGGAATAAAAAATCAGTAAGTTGGAGTTGATGAAAAGTAAAAACTTCCATTCTTTGAAAAAACTATTAAGACAGTGAAAAGACAAGTGGCAAACTTGCCACTGGTTTGCAAACTTTCTATCTGTAAATCATTTATCTGATAAAGGATTTGTATCCAGAGTACAGAAAGAACTCTTAAAACTTAATAGTACAAAACCAACCAACCCAATAACAAATGGACAAAAGATTTCAACAGATATTTCATCAGAAAACAGAGGATGAAGACAAGTAAGTACATAATAAGGTGTTCATCATCACAGGCTTTAGGGAAATGCAAATTAAAATGAGATGCCACTTCACATCCTTTAGCATGACCAACACTTAAAAGACTGATCATACCAGGTGTTGGCCAAAATATGAAGGAACTGGAATTCTCGTACATTATTGGTGGGAATGTAAAATTGTAAAATCCCTTTGAAAAACAGTTTGCCAATCTCTTAAAAATTTATGCACCATGTGATCCAGCCATTTACACAAATGCTCGTATAATCTAGATGAATCTTCTATCATTGCATAATAAAGTCCCACAAATTTAACAGCTTAAAAACAACACACATTTGTAATTTTGTAGTCCAGGCTTGCCCTGGCTGGGTGCTCAGGATCTTACAAAGCTGAAGTCAAGGCGTTGGCCAAGCGGCATTCCTCTCAGGGAGTCAGGTCTTTTCCAAACTCACATAGTTACCGAAAGATTCAATTTCTTCTGGTTGTAGGCCCAAAGCCCCTATTTTATTTTGCTGGCTGCCACATAGGGGCTGCTCTCAGCTCCTAGAGGTTGCAGGCAGTCCCTGACTATGCAGCCTTTTTTACAACATGACAGTTTATGTCCTCAAACCCAGCAGAAGAATCTCTGTCTGCTAGGATGGAGTCTTAGCTAATGTAACAATGACAGCGGTGACTATCCAATCACCTTTGTCATATTCCATTGGCTAGAAATAAGTCCTGGGTATTCTTCACACTCATGGGGAGGGGATCATACAAGGGCATGACTCACTTCTGGTCATCGGCAGGTGGATCTGCCACACCAGCTTTTATATTTGTAGTAGTCTCAAGTTGGAAACAAATTGCCCATCAACAGGCAAAAGAATAAATAAATTGTGGTATGCCTATAGAATGGAATACTACTTGGCAATAAGGATGAATGAATGACATACACGAAACACAAATCAATCTCAAAATAATGCTGAGTGGAAGAAGCTAGGCAAAAACAAGTATTTACAGTATGATTCCATTTAATAAAAATGTAGAAAATTCACAGTAATCTATAATGATGGAAAGCATATCGGTGATTTCCTGGGAATGAGAAGTGAAAAGTGCCTGGGCAGGGGAGTGATATTACAAAGAGGTATGAGGAAACTTTGGGGGGGAGTGACAGATGGCTTCACCATGTTAATAGCAGTGATGGTTACGTGACTGTCAGATTATCAAATTGTACACTTAATGTAGTTCAATTTATTGTATGTCAGTCATATCTCACTAAACCTGTTTTTTAAAAAATCTAGCAACTTTTTCCAGAATCAACTCTTTCAAGGTACTCCTGCTTATTAATAAAAGCTCCCCTCTTTGTCACTTTGAAATTCACCAATTTGCTAAATTTTCCAAGTTCATTTTTTAACAGCAGTTTCTATGACTGTGAAACAGGAGCTTTTGTATGAGGTGAAGGAATTGTGGCAAATGTTGGTATGTGGGTCCTACACTATGAAATATCTCTGAGATGGAGTCTGATTGGATTATACTTTCCAGGTTTTGTGTAAGAGTCAGATGGGCAAATAGAAAATTTCAATATAATATAGCTGTACATGCACATACACATATGCAGAGAGAAGGGGAGAGAGAGAGAGACTGAGACTTAGCCCAGCCTGGGGTGGGTCTGAGGCATGCCAAGAAAATTTTGTGGAAATGATGAATTGAGCTTTAGGAGATGAATAGGAGTTAGTCAAGTGAAGAAGGGAAAAGCCATTCCAGATAAAGAAAATGGCATAAGCAAAGGCAGGAAAAAGCATGTTACATTTGGAGAATCTTTTGGAGTTCGGTAACATGGGGCATGATGTGGGAAGTTGTGGATGAGGTTGGAGAGGGTGGGTGAGGGCTGACACGAAGGCCATTGTGATTTGGACATTCTCTCATAAGCAGAGATGGTCTGAAGAATTTTAGGAAAGTGAATGATGTCATTACAGAAAAGTATAATCCCACCTACTGATTAAAAGGGCTTCATACTGTAAAGTAACGGTAAGAACAGGAATGAGAAGATGGATTTGAGATATCTAAAAGATAATATTGCAAGTATTGCAAGTCTTGGTGATCAATTGGTCATAACTGAAAGAGAGAATCTATAGTGATCTCCGAGTTTTTATCCTGTGATTGTTCCATTAACTGAAAAAGAAACATAAGAGGCAGAAGGTGGAGGAGGAGGAGAAATGAGTTTAAACCAGGCATGTTGAGTTTCAGATGCATGGGGGACATTGAATTGAAGACGCTTTTTAAGGCAGGTAGAAAAAAGGTCAGAGAATGACAATATGTGTGGGAGGTAAAACTCTGACAAAGGCAACATTTAAAAAAAAAAAAAATGTGTAAAGAAGAGCACTGGGATGGAACCCAAAGGAACCTCTCACCAAGAGCCAGAGGTAGAAGGGAAATTTCTATTGAAGACCCAGAATGAATAGCCAGAGTTATAGTGAAGGTAACTAAATAAACTGTCCTGTTCTACTGATTAAAGTCTCTGTTCCAAAAGAGCGTCTCTGTTCCCTATCCCTCCTTCCCCCATCACCCACTCTTACCCCCAGGTCTTCTCGTTGTAGGAAAAGAAAGCAACAAACTTAACTTCTTTGTCCTGAAAGAAAGAGATTAAATGGAAAGAATAAAATATAAGACAGCAGATATTAAGGAAATATTTTTGGTTGACTAACATAGTTCTTTCAGTTTTAATTTCCTGGTGACAGCTTTATATCTGTTGACAATCTGTGTTTGTCCTCCTAGAAAAACAGAGAAGAGTCAGAGGCCCATCCTCCGTCAGTATGACCATCAGCAAATGCATTTTTTTACTACATTCTATAATTTCACTGAGGTATGGGATAGGCAATTCACAATGGCACTTTTCACTGGGTATAAAAATAACTCTGATTGTTATCAAGTTGGGCAGGATCATGAAGTTGGCTTTTCATTGTACTTTGGCATTGACAAAAGGAGGGGAAGATCTGGGACAGCTGCTAGAATTTTCTGGTTCTGGTTGAGGAGGATAATAAAAGTGTTAAGCACTACAGTCACTTGCCTTATTGTCTGAACTACCACAGGCCGACTTGAAAGCAGCTAGCTAGCCCAGACACTAGAGTACATATAACAACTTTTTTTCTTTTTTCATAGGAAGTAAAATCCATTTCCTCAGAAGTGAGGGAGAGACCTATTTAACAACTAGATCCAAAGTCAGGCATCTACCTAGGTCTCTATGGAGATATACATATTTATATGTACATATATTTATGGTGTTTGTGGGCCTCAAAACAAGCCTCTTCAAAGGTGAGGCAATAAAGATTAAAAAAGATAGAAGTGATCGATAATATCAAATACAGCCTAGAGGTCCAGTAAGATAAGGAAGCTATTGAATTTAGGCAATACGGAAGCCTTTGGTGATCCTGGTGAATTTTAATCAAGTAACGTAAGCAGAAGACTGATTTTATTGTGCCGTGGAATGCAAATGGGAAGGGAATCTAAGAAATAAAGATGGCAAACAATAGACTTATCAATCAGCATAGCTGAGAAAATACAAATAATATAGTGTTTGTTTTTTAAAGATCTTATTTTTAATCTCTACACCCAGCATGCGGCTTAAACTTACAACCCCAAGATCAAGAGTCCCACACTCCACTAACTGAGCCAGCCAGGTACGCCTGAATAATACAGTGCTGAGGGAAGTAGAAATGTAGGGTCAAAGGTAGAGACATATTTTAAAATAGGAGAGACCCAAGTGCATTTGCAGGCTGAGGCAATGAAGCAAAAAAAAAAAAAAAAAAAAAAAAAAAAAAAGAGGAAGAAAATAAAGATATGAGAATATGAAGGAATAAGGTCAAAGAGGAAACAGAACATGTTTTCTGGAAGAAAAGAGAAGAGGAAAACTGGTGGATGGATGACATCTTATCCTTTGAATATGGAGAAAACATAACACTAAACCAGGCAGATGTAGACATCCGTAAAGATCCCTCTCTTTGGTTAATGTCCAGGCTCTGAAGGTACTGAGAGCTCCCCTCCTATCCCAGCCTCTTCCTGACTCATATCTTGTCCCTGTCTGCAAAAACTTGCAACCCATAGCCTAACAACTGTGGGTGTAATACCACTGATTGAAATGCCACAATGAACACCCCTAATTCAGTTAACTTAGCTTCAAGCAATGAAGTAGAGCTCAAAAAATTCAGAGAAACATATTCACTGATTTATACTTATATTTCTAATTTGTACTTGATGTGAGGGCAACTTGAAAAAAAAAAAAAATGGAATCCAAGTTCCAAAGTTGCCTCATGAAGCGGAGCTGTGGTTGAGGCTGTTCATTTCCTAAATCCTGGAGCATCATGCTGAGTCTTCTAAAATGTCTGTATCAAGAGTGTAGGTCCAGGTGACCAGGTCTTCCACTTCTTCTTCCCACGGCTCATTTGCACTACAATCATCTGGTAAAGCTAAACAACTCCACCCTTCCTTTGTTCTACCAGTCTTCATGACAATGGCCATTTTGGTCTGTGAGTCAGCAAAATTTTGAACTGTAAGAGGAAATATAAAAAAAAAAGTTAGTAGACATGGCAGAGAACACGATAAAAAAAGATGTGTTCTTGCATTTATGGGATAGTGCCTAAGATTGTGTAGTGAAGGCAAGCAACCTTTTAAAACTCTCTGAATTTTACATTTTGCGATCAGTTTTTCATAAATCATTCCTTCCATTCTGGTCAATCTTCTTTATGCTTTGTTAGTTCATTCATTTAACATGTATTTACTGAGTCTCCACCAACCACTGGTAGGCATAGAAAGGAAACAGTGTCTATGAAGGCTTCAGAACACAATGGTGGAATTGTTGTGTCTAAGTGAAAATAGGCTTGGATTTGACAGAGGAAGGGCAGTTTGCTGAACAGAGAAAGACAAAGAAGGAAGGTATGAGCACACTAGACTGAGAACACAGCACATGCCAAGGCACAGAGGTGTAAGAGTGCTTGACAGATTTGGAGGTAATCAGAGTTGACACATCAACGTTTATGCTAAGCCAACTGCTCTGCTAAGCAGTCTATATAGATAATATTATTTAACTTAGATATGACCCTTGTGACAGGTAGGTATTATTATCCTTATTTTACAGATGAGGAAATTGAGACTGAGTGACCTACAGTAACTTGTCCAAGGACACTCAGCTAGTAAGAATCGATTCCAAGTCATTCAAATCCCAAATCCCTGGGTTACAGTGGAGAGTTGGGTGGGGCTGGCTATTAACCTGAGGCCAGATTAGGAAAGCCTGCTGTATCATGCAAAGATGATTCATCTTTTTCTACAGGTCTTGTAAACAGGGAAATAAACTAATTACATTTAAAGGAAGAATATAGATACAGTGTTTATATTGCTTAATATTTCTACCCAGCATGGGGAACCCGTTTTCCAGGAATGTTTAACCGTAGTAGTGTTATTTATGTTTTACTACAGTAGCTACCTAATTCGTTGCCTAGTAAGGGATCCAGGACAAATTTTCTGTTGTCTCATATGTTTATTTCCCTAACTGCATACCAAATAAACCTTGTAATATTCATTGCCTTCTAGTTGTGCTATGGACAAGGGTTATGAGTGAATTGTTCTCTTGGTCTCTCTGTTTTATAGAAAGATTGTAGAGAGCTATGAGTTTAGAAAACTGCCATTATCCTGGGAGAATCTTGAAGTCTCCAATGATTGAGTTTTTTTGTTTTGTATCTTAGTATTAATCTCTAGCTTTCATTAGTTTAAATGTAAATTCTGTCTTTCCCTTGAGAAAACCTACTTTATCTTCTGTGAACTCATCATTGATGGACTAACTGCAGTTCTTTCTAACCATGTTTGGGCTGCTCTGAATTTATATGTTTTTGGGTATGAGAGATTCAGAGCCCAATTGAAACCAGTTTAAACAATAGGCAAATGTCTTATCTCACAGAAGAGGGAAGTCAGAGGTAGGACAGGATTGGATGAGCCAGTGATTCAACAGTATCATGAGGGACCAGTTCTTTCCGCTGCTCTGCTTTCCCATCTTTGGTGTTGTTTTCAATCTTCAGACTCACAGCAAGAGAGCTGTAGCCATTCTAGTACTCACATCAGATATGGCAACATCCAGAGAAAAAAAGGGGTCTTTCTCTCCAGAGTTTTATTTTTTAAGAGTAGGAAAACCATCCCCTGAAACCCACAGCATACTTCTTCTCAGGCAGAATTGTGTCACATACTGCTCCTAAGTGAGTTCCCGGTAAGGGAAATGAGATTACCACGGTGGGCTGACACCAGTTGTTGGCCAGGAATGAATGCTGAGAGTCAATCACTCTGACCATTTGTCCTCCAGTCCTAGCTCTGTTAAAAACAAGAACTAACAAACTAAAACCAAAAGCAAACCAAAACAAAACAAAACAAAAACAAAACAAAACAAAACAAAAACCCAAAGCAATACATTCTGGCTAGAGTAGCTGAGCATAATGTAAAACAAATATAAAAATGTTTCATTTTGACACAGAAAAAATATTATTTTCAACTTCCTTCCTCCAGAAAATCTTAAGTATTACAAATCCCTCCAAGAAACCTTGGATTTACTAGTTGGAATCAATACTAAAGGTCAGAACTCTGTTACTATGTTAACAAAATAACTTATGAAAGCACAAATGCTGATTGCCATATAGTTTGCACGCCTCTCTAGGGATGGATCCTGGAAACTCATATATATTTTTAAATATGAAAATAATTTAATTGGTAAAGATATTAAAATTTGTTCTGACTGGTGAGCTCTGATTATTGCCCAATAATCAGATCCATTCACTTCTGTGTCAGCCTGGGTTCAGCTAGGAAAACAGAGACAGTATAGCTAATACAAGAATGAGGAGTTTAATATAGAAAATAGGGATTACACAGGTATGGGGAGACATGGGGGTGGGAAGGTCGGAAAGATTGTAGTTGGAGAACTGGAAAAGCAGTCACTCCCTACTTCAGCCTGATGTGGGAAAACCAGGAGTTCATGGGGCATTACAAGGAGCTATACACATCCAGCCCAAAGTGGGACAAAAATTGAGAGTTCATGGAGATATTTCTGAATCCATCATATCTGTAAAGTGAGAGTTTGTGAAGCGTGCATGAAACTGCGATCTGAGGGGCACCTGGATGGCTCAGCGGGTTAGAGCCTCTGCCTTCAGCTCAGGTCATGATCCCAGGCTCCTGGGATCGAGCCCCGCATCGGGCTCTCTGCTCAGCGGGGAGCCTGCTTCCTCCTCTCTCTCTGCCTGCCTCTCTGCCTACTCTTGATCTCTGTCTGTCAAAAAAATAAATAAAATCTTAAAAAAAAAAAAAAAAAAGAAACTGCAGTCTGAGGAAACTGCCAATTTCTGGGGAATTAATGGCCTCTTCTCCCTCCCACCTCCTAAAGCTCTGATGCATTTTTCTCAATAACAAACCATGCTAACCACCTCTACAAAAGAGGAGCACACAGTCCATTTCTTTTTCAAACGAGTCACGCTTCCTTTGCACATGCGCTGTAAGTTCACTACGCTACCTAACAAGCACAAAATCTCAGCGGTGTACAACAACAAGCATTTGTTCAGTTCACCCATCTGCAGGTTCACTAGAGATTGGCTTCTCTGGGCAGGGGATGCTGGGAAAGTTGTCAGGGAAGCTCGGCTCTATGGCTTTCATCTTTCTCTGTGACCAGAAGGCTACTCCAGGCATATTCTTGTGATGGGGGCAGAAGCGAAAAAGAGCAAGCCAAATAGCACGAGCTGTTTCCACACTCTGGGCATATCACAGCCACCAATATTCCACTGATCAAAACAAGTCACATGGCAAAATTCAAAGTCGAGGGTCAAGGGAGTACATTTTGCCTATAGAGGTGGAACAGGATAGTGAATATTTCTCTCTCTCTCTCTCTCTTTTTTAAAGATTTATTTAGTTATTTTGGTGGAGTGGGGAGAGAGAGCGAGCGAGCATGGGGTTGGGGCAGAGTGGGAGGGAGACAGAGAAACTCAAGCAGACCCCATGTTGACTGTGGAGCCTGGTGCAGGGCTCAATATCACAACCCTGAGATCATGACCTGAGCTGAAATCAAGAGTCAGATGCTTAACTGACTGAGCCACCTGGATGCCCTATGGATAGTAACTATTTCTGAACGATAATCTAACTTACTATAACCTCTTACGGATAGTCTCTCCTCTTAGCTATAAGATTAGACACAAAATATATTTTATCACATTTTCAAAGAGGAAAGGCTCAGCATTAGAGATCTGATCAGTTTCTAGACATTCCTTAACATGTTCTCTCTTCCAGCTCACCTTTCTTACTATTCTCATTCATCAAGAGTTTATTTACCTTCTTCTGGGATCAGAGCTGATAAAAGCATAACAACTCTACTTCACTCTAGTATGCATTCACTCATTCATTCATGAGCACTCAATGACTACTAGATGAAGTGCTGTGTTGTGGCAGATTGAGAAGTAAGAGTCTCTTTCCTCGGGGGGTCATTTTCTAAGGAGACTGGCTGTAAAGAGACTTATATGACATTGCATATGTGGAGGACAAAATCTAAGGTGATCATCATGATCCCACATTCCAGTGTTCACATCTTTATGTAAATCCCTACATTTTAAATGTGGTTGGGACCTATTACTTATTTCTAATCAATAAAATATGACAGTGGTGATGGACTCTCACTCCCATGATTATGTTGCATTATATGACTCCATTTTGCCATCAGACACACTCTAATGACTTTCCTTGCTGGCTAGATGAGGTAGGGGGCTATGTTGGAAAAGCCCGCATGGCAATAAACTGCCTGCAGCCTCTAGGAGCTAAAGGAGGTCTTCAGCACACAGCCACAGGGCTCACAGTCTTAAGGACAGAAGGAAGTGAATTCCACTAACAACGGTAGTGAGCTTGGAAGCAGCCCTTCCCCATGCAAGCCTCCAGATGAGACTGCAGCCCAGCTCACACCTTGATCACAGCTTATGGGATCCCAAGGTGGGGATCTAGCCACACCATGTCTGGACTCTGGGAGCAGAGAAATGGTGGAACAACAAATATGTGTTGTTTTAAGCCATTATGTGTGGTGATTTGTTACACAGAAATAGAAAACTAATATAGAATAATATTATAACAGAAGTGCTTAATAGCCCACAGGGAAAGCTTCCTATAGAAGGTAATACCTGAGCTGAATCTCAAAGGATGGGTAGGTAATAGAAAGGAAAGGAAGAAAGGGTGTTTGGCATGAGGATATGAAGAAACACAGCAGCATACTTGTCAAATTTTTTTGCAATGAGGAAGGAAATAGTCATAAGCCACTAGGTCAGTGTGGTGTTTAGGGTATGAGTGGGAGAGTGGGAAGAGATGTCACTGAAAAAGCAGACAGATATGAGCATTAAGGACTTTTCCATGTCAAAGAGTATAAATTTTATCCTGAATGAAACGGAGAACAAAGGATTTTAGACTCAGAAAAACATAAGCAGATGTGAGCTGTAGAAAGAAGTCTGACAAAGCATGAACAGGAATTATTGTAATCATCAAATGAACCAAAAGATCTCTTCCTCTGGTGCAGATGTGGGGGTGTGGGGAGGACAAAGTTTGCAGAGAGCAGAGAGTTCGTGGAGGAAGCAGAGTCTGGCTGGGAAAGGCCACATTTCTTACCAAGGCTTGCAGGTACCCTGAAATGCAGAAGGCAAAGTGGAATAGAGCAGATTGAGGCTGGCAAGTCAGATGAAGGAATCTGAGTGGTACGCCAAAACAGGAAGGAGAATGAGAAGTAGAAGCTGAGCCAAAGAAATGCAAGTAAGATGTATGGAAACTGGGCTCTTAGAAAAGCACTGGATGAAGTTTGCTGCCTGTGCCTGGCATGCCTGTGCTGTTGTGTTTGAAGGACAGGGGTCAGTGAAATGTGATAACTAAGACTTCTAGTACTTTCCTGTTCACAAAGAATGTTTGCATACATGGAGTCACTTAGTCACAAGAATACTTTGTGTTAGGCCAGAACATGAGGAACAAGTATTTACTGAACATCTTCTATGTATTCAGTACTGGCTGAAGATGTAGAGACTGAAACTCAGAGGTTTCTCGTAACTGCACAGACCTGTTACCTAAACACAAGTTCTCTACCCCAAATGTTTTGCTTTCCCCTCTATACTAGTTGATTTTTATTATAATTTACCCACTCTTTTCCTGATCAAGACCCTCCCTCAACTTATCCCAAGTATTTCTTTTTTTTCTTCTAAGGTTTTATTTATTTATTTGAGCGAGAGAGAGCAAGGGAACACAAGAAAGGGGAGTGGCAGAGGTAGAGGGAGAAGCAGGCTGCCCCTGATGTGGGGCTCAATCCCAGGACCCCAGGATTATGACCTGAGCCAAAGGCAGACATTTATGTGACTGAGCCACCCAGGTGCCCCCCCCAAAATATTTCTTTAAAAAACATTAATTAAAAAAAAAATCACCAAGAACAATTCAATCACCATTATTCCTTTCTTTTCAACCATATTGCATATATCTCTGAATCTACAGGGACCTTTAGGGATTGGTTTATTTGGTGTTTCTTGTTTTGAATGCTTGTTTTGACACACCTTGAAACTTAGCCTTAGATTTCCAAATTGTACATTAACCTATTAAAGGATGGTGAGCTTCAAAGGGTAAGTAATTCCATTTTTTTTCCAAGCTCCAATTCCTAGGTAAGTAATTTACTGAATTTATTTTGTTAGTCAGAAAGACTTAAGGCAACCTTAAAAGGAGAACACAAGATTAGGCCTCACAGATTTACATTTACCTGAACTGAAAAAAAATTTACATTCATTATTATAACTAATATTTTAGTTCTAAAAACAAAGCAAAACAAATAGGCTGAACTGCATGTACTTGGAGTTGGGCAGAGTCGAACTCTTTCAGTTAGATATTTGGCTCTGGAAGGCATTCTTCTACTTTCTCTAGCCAGCCGAGCCACAGTAGCTGCATACCTAGAATGAGAAAAAGAAGTCATCTAAATTTCCAAATGAATTCTGGGAAGTGTACATCACTTTTGAGAAAGATAAAGCAAACATATTAAATCAGACAGACAAGCAGAACAGCGGGGTTTGACTGTGGTGCCATTCTGAGTGTTCACTAGTGTAATAGTCAACAGAAATTATTCCATTATGTTTCCTAGCAGAGTAGTCATTAGGAAAACAAACAAATATGGTGTAAGATGAACACTGTAAAAGTAATAAAACATCAACTGGTAAGGCAAGGTGCATTTGTTTCCCAGGGCTTCCTTAACAAGTTTATTCTCTCACAGCTCTGGAGGCTTATTTTTTTTTTAAAGATTTTATTTATTTATTTGACACAGAGAGATCACAAGTAGACAGAGAGGCAGGCAGAGAGAGAGGAGGAAGGAGGCTCCCCGCTGAGCACAGCGCCCGATGCGGGACTCGATCCCAGGACCCTGAGATCATGACCTGGGCCAAAGGTAGAGGCTTAACCCACTGAGCCACCCAGGTGCCCCTAGAGGCTTATTTTATGTTTGTTTGTTTGTTTGTTTGTTTGTTTAATTTTGTCAATTCGTTTAATTGGAACTGGTGTTAAAATTTTCTTCACCTATTGAGATGATCATATGATTCTTCTTTCTTACTTTATTTTATATTGTTTGAATTTTTCAAATATTAAACCAAGGTTACATTCCTGATATGAACCCCACATGGTCATGTATAATTATCAATTATTTATTATCTTATTATTAAATTTGTTATTTATTATACATATGGGATCTAATTAGCTAAAATCTTTACATCAATTTACATGACGTGTATTTATCTGTAATGGGGTTTTTATTTTCTTTCTGGTACTCTTTGACTTTGTTACTGAGGTGATAACAAAATAGTCATTTTGTTTCTTTTTATTTTATCAGGTATTTATTCAGGTATAATTAATATACAGTGTTTTATTAGTATCAGGTATACAACATAGTGATTCAACAATTCTATACATTACTCAGTGCCCCTTGTGATTAGTGTACTCTTAACCCCTTTCACCTGTTTTACCCATTCCCCCACACACCTGCCCTCTGGGAACCAAATCTGTTCTCTACAGTCAGTTTCTTGGTTTGTCTCTTTATTTTTCTTTGTTCATTTGTTTTGTTTCTTAAATTCCACATATGACTGAAATCCTATGGTATTTGTCTTTCTTGCACCAACTTCTTTTGCTTACCCCTGTACTCTCTAGAGCCATCCACATTGTTTGAAATGGCAAGGCTTTTTTCTTTTTCATGGCTGAGTAATGTGTGTGTGTGTGTGTGTGTGTGTGTGTGTGTGTATCTCACTTCTTCTTTATCCATTTATGAGTCAATGGCCACTTGGGCTTCTTCCATAGTTTGGTTATTGTAAATTATGCTGCAGTAAACACACTGATGCAGGTATCTTTTTGAATTATTCTTTTCCTATTCTTTGGGTAAATACCCAGTAGTGGAACTACTGGATCATAGTGTAATCCTATTTTTAATTTTTTGAAGAACTTCCATACTGTTTTCCACTGTAGCCACACCACCTTACTTTTCCACCAGTAGTGGATAAAGAGTTCCTTTTCTTCCTCACCCTTGTCAACACTTGTTGTTTCTTGTGTTTTATTATACCTATTAAGTTAAAAAGTATAACTAGCAACTCAAATGAGTTTTCATCTTAAATTCTTAATAATTTTGTTGGCACTGTAAGTTGTTACCTATTCTTGAAAAGTAGCTTTATGTATGTAACGAGGGCCATAAAACTTAACTGTATCCCTTCCATCTAGTGATCTGATTTTTTGTAACATGTTCTAAGGATACTTCGTGGCTTTCTGCCTGTTTCTCCCTTCAGGTGGCACACAATCTAATATGCCTCTGGGAAACCACAGCCCTTCTTAAATTCACCCCTGCTCAGAGGAAGGCCCAAGCTAAACTACGTATCATATTTCTCTGGCCACAGTCGGGGGTGGGGTGGGATAGGGTGCTGATGGGGAGAGGAAGGTGGGGAGAGAAAGAGAAACAGAGAGACCTTTCGCAAGAGTGTTCTACGTGGGTGCAGAACCAAAGGAACAAGTCTCTTAAAAAAACCAACCAAACAAACCTGGTATGTGTTTTTGATTCCTATCAAAATCCCCCCCCCCTTTTTTTTTTGGAGAGGTAAAGGAGGAAGTAGCTTTAAGTCATGGTGTTTATAATATAGAATGTCCCACCAGATTCTGTGCTACAACCAGAAATCCATGATAAAGTTTTAGGGTACATTCTGAGAGAAAAGTTGATTAAATGAATTGAACCCATCAAAGGTGAACAATAAAAAAATGTGGAATTCATTAAAAAAAAAAAAAACAAACAGTTGAAAGAACTGGATGTGTTTATTCTGAAAAAAGAGAAAACTTAAGGGGATTTAGGAAAAAGCTATTTTCTGAGACTTAAAGGATAATTCCACAAAAAGGAAGAGCCTTATTTGTGTTGCTTCCAAGGACAAGTGGAGATACTTTCTTTTCTGCCACAGCATCACTGCTCGAGCCACGCCTACTACCCATATCCAAAGCCATCCTCAGTGTCTGAGCTGGCAGTGGATCTAGTAGACAAAAGTATGGGTTGTAGCATCTGCAGGCCTGGATTTGAATTTCAGCTTGGTCACCTTCAGAATGTGCAAACTTAGGAAATTTTTTAAAAAACTTTTTCCTGTACATTCTCTTTATAAAATGGAGATATTTTCTCATTTTCTGGCTGGTTTTGCAGACAAATGCATAAAACACATAGTAAGGACTCAATAAAAATCTTAAGTGAATGAAAGGAAACTAGAATTATTGAATTATCGTAAGGTATTAGATTTGAGCTAGATATACGGGAGATTCCAGCTATTTAAGTGGTCCTTGAAGTACTGAGCTCCCTGTCTCTAAAACCATCCAAGCAGAGCTGAAGTAGTTGCTTGACAGAAATTATTTTTTTAATGGGATTTTTTTCCCTCTGTCTATATATTTTCTCTGTGTCTCTATTTTAAAGGGATGTTTCCAGTGCCAATTCTAATGCTTCTCTCTTTAACCACAAGATGGCATTCAAGGTTCAATCTTTGGGGAATAAAATAAAGCCAGCATTCCTCCTTAAAAATATGCATTAAATATATAATTATGTAAATCTATAAAAATAACATTTAACGTCAAAAACCCTGAAAGGACAGCACAAACATACTTTAAATTAATGTATTCAGTATAAATGTTTTCTACAAAATTGGAGAAAAGGGAATCAAACATAGTAATCATATATTTTTGTGAGTTAAAACACTACAAAATCAGATACAGGAACTTAGAAATAATATATACTAACCCCTTAATTTAAAATATGGTACAACTATGTCCATAGTATATTTTATAAATATAGGAGTGTTTTATGAAGGAGAAAAGAGCTAACATTGTTTAATAATAGAATTTGAGATTGACCAAAAAAACCTTTTCCATAAAAGGTAGATTTGGTTTGTGCTTGCAGTTGGGTAAATCATAGTTTCACATTACCTAAAAATTTTAAGCTTTTAATAAGCATATATTAATAGGAAATTAGGAAATAATTTAGTTTTAGTTTTCAAATACAAAATGCATTTATCAGTAACTTTGGGCAAGCTGGCTAATCTCACGTTTCTCTCATTAATACACTGTTGATACATCGATGTTTCCAGACTCTCTGTGGAGAAACGTAGGGGTGACAAACCAGATGAAGAGGGAGGCTGAGGATTTTGTCTCAAAGCTGTGTCTGTGTATAACAAGGACGTGGTTCGACTTGGCCTGTGGGTTGGCTGGCTACGGTTTTGTGGGAGGCTGAGGGGTGCGACTGCGGGCTTATATTTAGAGGTATAATCTTCAACTCCGCAGTATGGCCAGTATGCCATTAGGAAATGAAAGAATGTCTGGCACATAGGAGGTGCTTCACCATTTAGTTTCTGTCCCTTCTGTACCTCCCATGCATAGATAAGAGCAATACTCTTCTCCAAAGCAGCAAACAATGTAAAACTCCAAAACCAATAACTTCTATTTAGATAACTTGCTGTCCGACAAAGCTTAGGTTCCTGGCACAGTATTTCCATTACCACATAAGCACTCATTAGCCACAGAGTATGACATAAACAGTTTTACATGTGCATAAGGAAGAATATTTAAGAAATAGCTTGCACTACCTTCTGGTTTTTAATCTTTCACTCGTTCTCCAGAGAAAATAAATACAAACTACTGATTCATCACTAGATTCATATTCCTTCCCATGTCTTAGTAGAAATAAAGCATTTGCATGAATAGTCAAGAGACAGGCAAAGTAACAGGGGAGGAAAAAAGGCCTTAGAAATGATCAAATGACCAAACCAAATGATGGATTCATGAATATTTATGAGCTGCTTATAATGACAATGGGTTCCTATTAATACTAACTAAAAACATGTGTACAACTTAAGAATTTGCATAAAATATTCATAACAGTCATTTATATCTCCAGTTTTCAATCATTGTTCTATAACTATACCCTTAGAATTCCCTAAATAGAACCATTATCTATTAGAATTGGCCTTATTTCAAGTCAGTGTCTACATTTAATTTTTCTAAAAGTTAACTGCCTTCACATCTAATTCACCTATTAAGTGAGAAAACAGGGTAAATATGCACCATTCAACAAACACGACTGAGTGCCTGCTAGGTGCCAGGTGCTGTGCTGAGAATAGAAAGCCACAATAACGTCTTGGCCTGGTCCCTCTCCATGAACTGATCAATTTCTACACCACAGGTGCTGAAAGAGACAGGTATTGAGTGCAAGGAAGGAGAGCATGGGGGGATGTGGAAGCCTGACTCAGGGATCCTGTCACAAAGAGATGTTGGGCTGGATTGTCACGCCATCCTTGTGATGCACTTTGCCAAGCAGCATAGAGCACAATGGCAGAAAAGGGATAAGAACCACGTGTATGCTGGAATTAAAGGAAATGTGGTTGTGATAGGCAGCTGTGCTTGTGTTCTAACTGGAGAAAATGTGACAGTTCTAACCTGTTTCTGATAGAGACTATATTTATTCTCTGAAAAGTTGGGGAGTGTGGGTTTTTGTCTCCTCCTCTCCTCGGAACTAATATTTATTGATTGTCTCTAAGTCAACACTCTATGACTATATATCTGTGACCTCAAGAGATCAAATGTGAAACAACTTTGCAAGGTAAGTCATGTTTATCTCCAATTAGCAGATAAGGAAACAAGCTGAGAGTGGGTATGAATTTCTCTAAGATCCATCTGACCCTAAAGCCTATGCTTTCCTCCCACCATGCTATCTCCAAAGAAAGTGTTCTGTCGGAAAATGGAACTAGGGCCACAGTAGGAAAAGCATGAATAATAGAGAACCTTCTGAGTACTTACTATATACTAGATACTGTTTGAAGAATTTTACATGTATTCATGTATTAATCCTTACAATCTCCTTGAGGGGCAGGTACATTTATCACTGCCATTTAACAGATAAGGAGACTGAGGCACAAGGTAATCTAATAACTTGCCCTTGCTCTGTCAAGGTGTTGGTAACTGGCAGAGCCAGGACTGAAATTCAGATAGTCTGGCTCCCGTGTCCCTGTGCTTAAGGACTCCACATTCCACCTTTTCATTCAGACCAAAGCCTAACTCTAGACCACCAGCAAAGACCCTGCTGGAAAAGATATCCCAGGCAGAAGGCACAAAGTGGTGAAGAGATCTTATGTCCCAAAATAATGGTGAGAAGAAAGAACTTAGTGTGGCTTAAGAATCAAGTCTTGATTGATGAGGAGATGGGAGAACAGTAGGAGGAGGGATAGGAAGCAGGAAAGATTGGTCTTTTTCCTTAATGCTATGCAGATGAAAGGCTGTTGATTTGCATTTTCTGGCTTTTTTTTAAATAGGAAATTTCTGTGCAAAAAAAAAAAAAAAAGCACTTTCAGTATTAAAACAGAGAAATGCATAATGGTATTATATTGAATGTATACACCAATCAGTCACTTGCAAAGATGCCTAAACGTTTTCTACTTGAGTCTCTAGGAGTTGATCACTTTAGTATATTGTATTTTGACAGAACATAAGACGTCTAATAATTATTTGAAAAAGAAGTGGATTCGCCACACTTTGGATTTTTACAACATATTGTTGCATATTTATGCCACAATAAAATTCAGCTAGATGCAATATCTTTTAAAAAGTTTAGTGTTTTTATATTAATCAATTCCAAAATTTAAGAGTTATCATTTGATCCAAATATATTCTCATCAACCACCAGATGGCATAAGGTGTGAGAGTTGTATTCTGACAGGGTCAACCATGCACATGATAATTTGACCTGTAACTTCAAAATAATGCATTTGGAAAAATGTTCTAGCACTCAAACAGCTCACAATTATTTCAGCCATATGTAGAAGTGGATGGATAAGTTGAAAATGACACGGCCCTACTATTTCTAAATGTGGGGTTCTGTGGGACGCTGGCATTACATAATGAATCAGTGATCAAACGAATAAAACAAAGCCGTTCTGTTAAAGGAAATAAAAAAGGAAGTCATGTCAAAGCAAAATTAACCTTATATTCTAAGTAGCTTTCTTTAAGTCTAGACGAAACTTGAAACACGGCTTCAAGAAAAAAAAAATGCTTGTACTCCTTCAAATTCTGCTTTAAAAAACTTCTCTACTGCCTATAATTTATTCTGAAAGCAGAAAAGTATCGAATGCAAATGCTTTTCTCCACTTAGGCCTGAAGGGAAGTTGTCACAGAAGTCAAATGAAAAAAGAATATCCAACTGAAAAACCCAATCTGAGTTATGATGTTAAAGGGTAGGAAAGTGTATTTTCTTAAGAACTTCAATTTCTACACAAATTCAAAATACAGCACATTATTTTTATTAATCCTGTATTTCCATTTGTTAGCAAGGCAAAGAGCTAAAAACTAAGGTAAATGAGGCAAATGCCATAAAAAAAAATAGGAGGGATCTTTAATTCTCCTTGCATTGTGTAGAATATTTACTGAGTACTTTGAAATAAGCATACTAGAATAAATAAGTACTATAGCCAAGCCAACATCAGAGAGCTGAGAGGCAATGTTTCCTCTACGATGACAAAAAACAAAAACTGCCTTTAGGACTCAAGTGACCAAAGATGAGCTTAAGATCCCTTCAGTGTGGTCTAATAGTCATTGATTTCTGGAGATACTGTAATAGTTTATTTTCAAATTTTACTATATACTTCCTTGTTAGATGAAATAATTTGGTTCCTGAATGAAAATTCTGTGGAAGAGGGAATCACCAATGCGCCCTTTTCCTAGTTCTAAGTCAGATATTGATAAGGATAATGGGAACAGGAGTAAGAGAATTAATGCAAAGAGTACTGTGAGAGTGCTTCACTCATGCCCATCTCTATTTTGGGCAGTCAATAGGTGAAAACTTGGGGCACCTGGGTGGCTTAGTGGGTTAAAGCCTCTGCCTTCGGCTCAGGTCATGATCCCAGGGTCCTGGGATCAAGCCCCGCATCCGGCTCTCTGCTTGGCCGGGAGCCTGCTTCCTCCTCTCTCTGCCTGCCTCTCTGCCTACTTGTGATCTCTGTCAAATGAATAAATAAAATCTTAAAAAAAAAATAGGTGAAAACTGATGAAGGGAGCCCTCACTAAAATGGAGTTGGGGGGCCAGAAGGTGGAGGTCTATTACCCACATCAACAATAAGAACTGTCCATTACAGACTCCAACAGAAGAATCATCAATAGAAAAAAATCCTCAAAATCCTCAATCACAGATTGAGGGAAGGATATACATTCCATCTACTGTAAGAAACTGACTACTCCAGCAACTCAGCCAATGACCAGCAGGCATCATTCTGAACACTTGCTTTTCTCCAAAGGACTTCCTTTCAAACTCCTCCCAACTTCCTCCTCCTCTACAAAGCGACATTCCTCTTCCTATATTTCTTGGACTTGCCCTGTGGTTTAGACCTAGCTTGCAAATCCCCAATTGCTATTCTCTGCTATTCCTAAATAAACCCCCTTTTGCTGGTCAAATAACTTACATTTCTAAGGTTAATAGTAGCAAAGATGTTTCCCACCTGGGTTCATAGGAAAGGAAAAAATGGCATGTCTAATTCTTGTTCTTATGTTTAGAAAAGGGCATCCGTTGTTACTTCCAAAGATTTCTTCTGATGATTCAGTTAGACAGTAGAAAGTAGAATGATATATATTTCAATACAAAGTACTTACTTTAAATTCCATTCTTTAGGATGTTTTAATTCAGCTTTCTTCCATTTATAATACTCTACAATAAAATCTGGATCTTCAAGCACTGAAATTAGAGTTTTGAAAAAGGAGCATTCTTTAATAATAGCTCAAAGTTTAAAATAATTTACTTTTCATTAAGTTGATATATGGCAATGATATACCCTATATAGTCCAAGTCATACTACAATGCTCAGACACTTTACAAATTTCTTCCTTTGCTTTGAACTTTGAAACAAGTAGATTTTTCTTCAAAGTTTTCATTATAACAACACTTGTTTATATACCATTTATAGTAATGAAGACGGCATTAAAATAACTCATACAGAAACTACAGACACCATAGTTTAACAAAGTCCTTATTCAGCACTATGAGTAAAAAATAAAATCTTGGAGTTGGAAGTGACATCACGTAGGTCTTGATCTTCTACAAAGCAAGATTTGTCAACGGATGATCACAGTCCAGCCTCTGAATGAATCAATCCCTTGCCAATGACAGAAAACTCCCTTCCCTGTGGTTGGGAAACTGCCTATTCCATTGCCAGATAGTAGGTCATAATGTCTTTCTTAATCTGAGTGCTGAGTTTCCACTGGTCCTAGTTCTGACCTCTGGAGCAATACTAACCAGGCTCATCCTTTCCCCATGGGAGAGGGAGAGGGCCCTTCTAATATTAAAGATAGCTCTCAGAGCAGCCTCAGTTCCCTCAACTTTATCTTAAGATATGGCTTCTAGAGACCTAACCATCCTGGTAATGAACTTTGTTAATGTTCCTATTAAAGTTTACATCCAGGGGTGCCTGGGTGGCTCGGTGGGTTAAAGCCTCTGCCTTCAGCTCAGGTCATGATCCCAGGGTCCTGGGATCGAGCCCCACATCGGGCTCTCTGCTCCTCGGGGAGCTTGCTTCTTCCTCTCTCTCTCTGCCTGTCTCTCTGCCTACTTGTGATCTCTGTGTGTCAAATAAATAAAATCTTTAAAAAAAAAAAAAAGTTCACATCCAGAACTGGCTCAGGATCTTGATTTCTTTTGAATAGCAAAGGTGTAAACAGGTTACTACCTCCCTTGACCTGTGTGCTTCTATCAATTCATCTCAGATCTGCAGTAGTATTTTCTGGAAACAACATTGCACCACTGGCACATACATTCTTTGTTAATTATAAGCCTTATGCCTTTAACCAAATTAACTTAAAATTTATTGAAAGCCAGATCATACGGGGTGTCTGGGTGGCTCAGTCATTAGGCATCTGCCTTTGGCTCGGGACATGGTCCCAGGGTCCTGGGATCAAGCCCCACGTTGGGCTCCCTGCTCAGCGGGAAGCCTGCTTCTCCTTCTCCCACTCCCCCTGCTTGTGTTCCCTCTCTCGCTGTGTTTATCAAATAAATAATCAAATCTTAAAAAAAAGAAAAGCTAAATCACACACACAGACACACACATACACACACCTTATCTACCTATCACCTCCCTCTTTCTTGTAATTGTCCTGAACAATTTAGTCTTGAACAATTTAACTGACCAGATGCTTTCTACTAGTCTTACCTTTATCTGGAGCTTCCTTCAAACAATGGTTCATTAACCTCTGCTAACCTGATGAAATAGGTCATTGATAGAAACAATTAAACGGAATAGTTTTCCTTTTATTAATATTACATAATTTTCACTAGCTACAGCTAGTTTCTGGCTTTGACTTTTTTTTCTTCCTTCACACACACACAAATACACATACATTCTTTTTTTTTTTTAAGATTTTATTTATTTTATTTCAGAGAGCACAAGTAGGGGAAGGGGCAGAGGGAAGGAGAAAAGCAGACTCCCGCTGAGCAGGGAGCACTGAGTGGGGCTCAATCCTAAGGCCCCAGAATCATGACCTGAACCGAAGGCAGATGCTTAGCCAACTGGATTACCCAGGCGCCCCTATTAAGAACATACATGTTCTTAATATCCTTTATTAATATTCTTTTTGTTGGTATTTAGACTTATGCTCCTCCCCTCATTAAGGAAGGCAATCTGAGCTCTGCAGGGTTCTTAGTGAGGTCTCACTATTTCCTTCAGATGATTATAATAGCTAATAGTAAGAGAGTTCTTCCTACACATTGGGCACCTGTAAAGTAGGTGGTTACCATTACAATATACATTTTACAGAGGAACAAATAGAAAATTGAGTAATGTCTTCTCATTGGGGCTATTCTTACCAGTTAGACAAAATTTAAATTTTAGGTTTCTATTCAAGGATGATTAATCTATTTCCTTACTTTTTTTTGAAATCACCTTTCCCACATTTTCTGTTTGAATATATACATTAGTCTTTTCCTTATATGTTATGAAACCCCAAATGGCATGGTCATCCTTTCTGAGTATTTCCATTAATCTTATATCACTGACTCATTTTCTTCCTTACTTTCTCTAGTATCTGAGAGACAAAAAATGCCACAGTATTTATACAAACTTTTATTTTAATGCTTCCTATTTTATTCCTATAATGTTTTCATTCGGCATTCTGCCATGCGACCATAAACTTCTTAAAAATCTTCTCATAGTATGTATGTTGTCTCTAACACACAGTCCATTGTCTAGACATGGAAGATGCTCAATGAGTGATGGTGACAGGAGGGAAATAACGCAGGTGAAAGGGGCACATGAAAGCAAGTAGGAGGAAAGGACCAGTGAAATTTTGTCAGAAGTTTTTGAAGCTGAAATTCCCCATCATGACCATATCTTGTCCTTGTGACAGTTTTATAGTCTGTGGTAGAAAATCATCTTCTATGGGCTCCATAATATACTTATTTCTTCCCTTCCTTCTAAAGATCACGGTACATCACCTTTACTTTGTTTTTTCCATGACACATCTCTTGTCCAACATCTGTATAGGTTGATCTAATTTTTTTTTCCATGGCTGGGACTGTCACATCCAAAGAAACGTAATAGGATCAACCTGCCTTAGCACGTTTTATCTTCCACACATATTATCTCATACTAACCATAGACCAACTTAAAATACAGTGGAATGCTTCTGTCAGTGGAAAGAAATGAAAAACGAGGCACAAAGAGTTAAATGACTAACCTACATTCATTTAACTGTAGGTGGCAGAACCAGGACAGAACTATGGAGTCTCTAACTTCCAACATCGTGCTCTTCCCACGGCAGCCTTTCCAATCTTGGTTGCACACTGTAATCACCTGGGGAGCTTTAAAAATGGCTACTGCCGGGTCTTGCTCCCAGAGATCCTGATGTAATTAGTCTGGGGGGTGTGCCTTTTACATGGGAGTTTTTACAAGCTCCTCTGGTGGTTCTAAGGAGCAGTCAAGATTGAAGCCCCTGCATCACAATGAGATGATGCTGCCTCTTGCATCTGAATGCATTCTGGAGATACTTGTCCTTATTTCTGGCTCAAAGAATGGAAGTCTTTTAGGGTGAAAGCAAGCATCCCCATGATGTTTCAGGGTGTCTGGTCTGTCTGATGATACCAAACAAACACCAGGATGCCTCCACTCAGTATTACAGAGTACACTGGTCTGAAGGATTTCTTTCCTTTAACATAAACATTTCCTTATGGGGATCATATTCTGTCATTAGGGTGCTGTTGCCCACAACCATATGTATTGGTTCATTCTCTGCCAGACTTTTATTTGTCATTCTATACTGATGGACAGGGAACAGTGGATCATCAGTACATTTCCCCATATGATTGTCTATGATTGTAAACTAATAATTTTTGAAAAATGTACTGCATATACTTCAGAGTTTGGATTTAAATCTCAGGCTATATAGAGACAGCATTTTTGTACCACATTATAGAGGCAGTATAGCATGATAAAAAGAGCAATAGATGTGGAATCAGAGAATCTGGTCCAAGTCCTTAGAGCCACAGCCTAATGGTACTAATTAATTACAGCCACCTTCACTGAGCACTCACTATGTGCTAGGCACTATTTTAAGTCCTTCAATGCTATGAGGCATGTGCTCTAATTATTCTCATTTTACAGACAGGAAGGGAACTTGCACAGAGAGGTTAAGAAACCCACCCAAGGTCACACAGCTAATAAGTAGCAGAGCCAGGATTAAATCTCAGCAATCTGGCTCTAGAATTTACACTCTTTACCACTGTATAATATTTCCTCCTACCTGTATGACCTTAGGTAAATTACTTAGCTTATTTTTTTTTTAAGATATTATTTATTTGACAGACAGAGATTACAAGCAGGCAGAAAGGCAGGCAGAGAGAGAGAGAGGAAGGGAAGCAGACTCCCTGCTGAGCAGAAAGCCCAACTCAGGGCTCAATCCCAGGACCCTGGGATCATGACCTGAGCCGAAGGCAGTGGCTTTAATCCACTGAGCCACCCAGGTGCCCCACTTAGCTTCTCTTGATCTTGGTTTTCTCATCTGTAAGACAGAGTAATAATCATAATGCCTGGTTCATCGGCTTGATATACTACTATGTATGACATATATTAGGCATTCAGTAAATACTGGTTGACAAATGAATAAAAGAATAAGATGGGAAAGATTAAAAAAACAAACAACAGAGTATACCTGGTAAACTGCATTGTACATGAATAAACTTACTATTACTATGGTACACATGACTATGGGTAGATTTGTAGCATAAAGATATGGAAAAGAGTTAATACCCCAAATCGAAATATAACCACTCATCAATATGAATAAAAAAGCTTTTACAAATATGCATAAGAGTTTCATAATCTTTGCAGTGATAAGAATGTAACTGTAGGGGTGCCAGGGTGGCTCAGTGGGTTTAAGCCTCTGCCTTTGGCTCAGGTCATGATCCCAGGGTCCTGGGATTGAGCCCGCATTGGGCTCTCTGCTCAGTGGGGAGCCTGCTTCGTCCTCTCTCTCTGTCTGCTTCTCTGCCTACTTGTGATCTCCATCTCTCAAATATATAAATAAAATCCAAAAAAAAAAAAAGAAGAAAAAAAGAAAGAAAGAAAGAAAAGAATGTAACTGTAGAGGGGCACCTGGGTGGCTCAGTTGGTTAAGTGTCCAACTCTTGATTTTGGCTCAGGACACAATCTCAGAGTCATGAGACTGAGCCCCATGTTGGACTATGCTGGGAGTGGAGTCTGCTTAACATTCTCTTTCCCCTCTGCTTCTACTCCTCTCTAAGAAATTAAATTAAATTAAATTTTTAAAAAAGAATGTAACTGTAGAAACTGAAGTTATTAGAAGTTTCCCTTTTATTTCTCAGTAGCTGAAGAAGCATTCTATAATCTCAAAGCTTCATCTTTATTATTGCCAGGCAATTAGGCTGTTTAAAAAATAGTATTGGATCTTATCCAGCTGAATTATCCAAAGATAAAATGGCCAGCAGCACATGTAAGGTTTAAATTCAATTTTTAAAAAGTGAGTGTTCGTTGTTATTAAAGGAAAACTCCTGAAACATTCTTATAACAAGTCCTAGGGGAAGAACAGGCAGGGTGATTGTGAAATCTTGCACCAAGGGCTAGAATCAGTTGCAGAAATTCTTCTGGGCTAGAGACAGCCACTAAAGCTATTGCCTTCACAAAAAGGGATGAATTACATACTAAGTAGTGATAGCCATGGAAATGATAACCAAATTAAACATTTTCGTGTTAACTCTTTTGAAGAAGAAACTGCACTCAGTGGTACTGCATTATTTCCTTCCATTTTTAATTATTCTTTGTTGCAAGAGAATCATTTCCAAATTCCCTGAACTTCTGGCATGTGCTTCTATTTTTTTTTTCTTAACAGTATGAATTTCCCAAATGCTTCTATATATTTACAGGTTATTCCATAAGACACCATTTTCTACCATTTGTTTTGTTTTACGGGTGAAGGAGCTGGATGCTGAGTCTTTCCCTGGATTGTGCCAACTGTTTCGGATGCCTTGTCTGTTAAGGGTTCCTGCCTCCTGGATCCCATCTGAGTTCCTCAGTGTTTCTACATAGGAGGTACTCAAGATATGTTTGCGAGTTGACTAGGCAGTACCCAACCACAAATCTTTGAAAAGAAGTAACTATTCATGTACTCTGGCATCAAAAGTAATAAAATTCTTTATACTGATAGTGTTGCCAAAGATTGTGTTTCTTTAAGCACCTTAATTATTGTTCTTAATCCTAATCTATGATTAGTGAGGAAGGTAATGGTGATCACAAAATAATAACCAACATCCTGAAAGAACATGTAATTTCTTAGAAGTTACTCATCTAATTTATTTTAAATATTTGTTAAGCTTGGTATTACTTTCTGCTCTAATTTGTGCCTTAAAACTACAAACTGTTTTGGTGATCTTTTGTTCTATTGAAACCAAATATGAGACTATCACAATAATGAGATGAAATTCAGTGAGACCACAGATTAAGGCTGTGGTCATCAGGGTGGAGTGGAGAGACAAACGTTCTTAATGTTGTAGGAGATCAAGTAAACAAGGCTTAATTTGGGCAGTAAAGAGCTCCAAGAAATGCCTATGATTTTGGTTTAGACAAGTAAACTCAATAATGGTGACCCACAACTAACCAGGGGAGGTGATAACGATGGGAGGATGGTTTTGGGGCAAGATGATGAATTCACTTTGGCATATCTTAAGTAGGAGATGCCTGTAACCCATGTGGGTAAATGTCCAAGGCACAGTTGTAAATATGCACACAGAATTCATAAGAGGGCCTGATTAGAGATGAGGCTTTGGGAATTACTGGCAGATAGGCATAGCGAACAAGAGCACAAGTAAGATAAAGGCTACAAAGTTATCACTGAACCTGGAAGTTAGGAAGTCATGGGTCACTTCTGAATGCTCCATTTCAGCAGGATAGCAGGGCAGCAGACTGGATAACCTACCTGGATCTAAATCATGAAACAGCACACTAAAGATTTGATTAGATGGGGCCAGAAAGTTGTCCAGCTCTCCCCTTCCGTCTTTTTAGCTCCTAATATATGATGGCAACAAGGTGATTTTTCCTTACACTGTTAGAATTGAAAGCCTTAGGTTCATATGTTTTCTCACTATTTTTCTACTTAGTACTTTCTCTGGCTTTGAGGATAATTGTGTTTAGAATCAAAAAGTCTCCTCTTGCTATGAAGGCTCCACATTTTGGGGTGGAGTAAAGTTAAGTCTCATAAGATTGATAGCTTCATCTTTTATTCCTCCAATTGTCTATCTTTCTTCTGACTTTTAATAAGACTTCAGTCCAGGACTCTATACCAAAGAGGAACTAAATTAATAGTTGTTGAATGATTCTTATATAGAGGTAACAGAGAAGTTTATCACCTTCAGATTATATATATATGCCAATTAGTCTTTGAAAGCAAGATAAGTTGAGAATAATTAAGAGATTAATATATACCAAAAGGACATAAGATAAGGCTAGATCACCTTACATGAACTTCTATAGTGTTCTGTGGCTTTTGATGTGGCTATTGTAGACCATGTCTTGTAGTAATCATTAAATGAGATTTCTTTAATTGATCTGAAAATATACATTAAAATCAGACAATGAGTATGCAAGTTTCCTTTTTAAAATTATTTTATCAGAGTAGACTGTTTCAGATAATATCCTGCCATAAGACATTTGTAATTTCTAACAAATGATCTAATATATCAATTTCTCCAATAATACATATAAATCACAAAAAAGAAAAACTCTCCAAAACATATTTCAAAATAAATGTAAAAAATGTACACCCATATTATAAAAAGAAAAAAAGTTTAAAATATCTGCCTTTCAGATTAACTTTAAAAAAGGATTTTAAGAAAAGCATCATACTTGCACATTTTTTCTTTCTACAATAAACTGTTTTCTTAAATATCTATGGTAGGGATGCCTGGGTGGCTCATTGGGTTACACCTCGGCCTTCGGCTTTGGTCATGATCTCAGGGTTCTGGGATCGAGTCCCACATGGGGCTCTCTGTTCAGCGGGGAGCCTGCTTCCCATCTCTCTCTGCCTGTCTCTCTGTCTACTTGTGATCTCTCTCTCTCTCTGTCAAATGAATAAATCTTTAAAATAATCTATGCTAAATTTCAGTAAGATCACCTTTATTTCCTTTTTATTGTGAGGAGAAGTAAAACACCAGAACTGAGATCAGTTTCATTTTCACACAGAATCTGGCCATTTTCATACAGGGAAAAAAATAACTCTTCTAACAGTCTTGCCTGCACTTATCCTTCCCTGTGTTAATATTACTCTATCCTAATGGGAGAGCAAATATTGTTATAAAATATGGAATGGGATCTGCTTAACAGGCACTTAAATAACTGCATTTCTAATTTTTTTCCTACAAACAACTTAATTGCAGAGATTCTCAACACTCTAGAAACAAAATTTTCCTTTGGGATGTTTTTCAGACATGTGAAATCACCAAATAGCTTAAATAGATGCTGAAACATCAGACATAAAAGACCTTATGTCTGTATTCCATTTGAAGTTCTTAGCTCTTTGGAGGAAGCAGCAACTTTTCAATTAGAAAAAGTACACCAGCATTAATTTTTATAGGTAAACTGTAGGTACCTTAAATATTGGACTCATTTTGGAAATGAATGGGACAACATCTAAATTCTTGAACGCATCATTTATTTAAATGATAATTACACATGTCTAATTTTAAAAGTAACATTTTTCAAATGTATTATTGCTTTTGCAATCACACCAGTAGAAATCTGAAATGGGGTGACAATAAATTAATCAGTACTATTATTGCTTCCAGAGCTATGTGCGGTGCTTTACACCACTAAATGACATATTAAACTAACATTAATTTTGCCAACGAAATGTTTCGGCATTTGGCAACAGAGGTAACAAAATGAAAGGCTGCATTATATCTCCTGCATGAAAAAGCTTGTGATCAATTTGCTGTCACAGATCATTTAGCAGACAACAATGACCCAAGAGGAAGGAAACTGTCAACACACTGTCTCGTGAAAAAAAATACACCATCTTTAGGCACAATCGTCTTCATTGTTTTTTTGTCTGTTTGACGATGACCCATGACCCTCTCCCTTCCCAGCGGTGTCCTGTTCAATTTCAAACTGTTAGCCTTCAGGGGTTTTCTTTCCTTCCCCAGAATAATTAAAAGTATTACCCTAAAAGGTATAACTTTAGTAGAGTTTGAATATACAGAGCAGAATGTCTTAAACATTTGAGAATACTGCATTTTCGATTCTGTAAAAGAAACAGTGCCTTAAAATAAAAACAATAAAAGATACAACAACAAAACAGAAATAATTTTTACGATTATTCAGATAAGCTACTAAGTTTACAGAAAGTATAAAAAAATACATGTGTTTATAATTTAAAACATTAACAGGAATTTACTGCGTACTGTCATTGCCATTATGAATAAGAAAAAGTAGAAGATAATCCAAAACTGAACTTTAGAGTTTATTATCCTATTGGGAAAATAAGATATATACCCAAATTAGCAAATACAATGGTTTACATGTAAAGTGTTACATCATTTAAACAGACATTTGGAGATGACGACACATACTTCTTTGGCAGGGGCAGTAAACTAAAAAAGTTGGAAGAGAGAGATATAACTTTGTCTTGGAGGCTTTAGGGAAGGACTAACTTGGAATATGGATCTGGAACAGATGGAGGAGGCAATCTGGGTGAGAACAGTATTAGCAATCGCTCAGATGGGAAAGAGCATGGTGCATGTGCAACAGAGCATGTTGGGGGGAGAGACGATTGTAACAAGATAACTGACTAAGGTGGAGAGTTCCAATTTCAGAGGAATTGGAATTTGACAAAATAAGTGAAACTGGGCAATGCAGGTCTTCAGATTTAGGCAGAGAATGGGTTAGAGTTGACTTAGGAATGATTTATTAGGTGATAGAGAGCAATCAGAAGTTCTTGAATAAGGCAAGTAAATTATGAACCGAGTATGTGAGCAAGAGTTTTTTCTGGCCTCAGGATGCAGGGTGGAGTATATGAGAGATTAAATGCGGAGAGACAAGTTAAGAAACAGATGCAGTAATTCAGGCAAGAAATGCAGAGCTAACAGAAGGTAGGAGCAGAGACTATGAAGGGAGGAGATGAATCTCTGACAAGCTAATGAAATGCCAGGACTGGTTTTCTGATAGGGTGTGAAAGGTGAAGGAATCTGGGGTCAGATATTCTTCTAAAGCCCAGAAGACCATTTAGTTTTGCTAGTAACAGAAAGCATCTAGAGACTCTGAAGTAAAATATGAGTTTAAATTTAAACATGGGTTTTAGGTGATGAACTTTAGAAGTGTGATTGAGAAATTGAGACTGGAAATAGGAGATTTGGGTCAAATCAACATAAAGGTTGATAGATGATGCCATTAAGGGAAACAAACACAGAAAGAGTAAGTAAGTGTTTAGAAAAGAAAGATCAGAAACCAATTCATAGTTAAGAGGAGCCAGTGAAGGAAACAAAAAGGATCATTAAGGGAAGAAGAGAGTCAGGGTAGTGCTAGGTCATGGAAGCAACCTCCCAGCCATTACCCAAGCCTCCTGATTAAGACCTTACAAATCTCTGGATCTATAGGCACGTAATATCGTGATTAAGAGTAAGGAAGGCTTATGAAAGGCAGAGATTGGCCAAAAACAAGGTCTCGTAAACCAGTCAAGTTGTGAAGGCAAAGGAATACCACTCAAAGGAAATTAAAAGTGCAACTCCAGTGAACACATGAATGACAGAAAGCAAAACAGCTTTATTGCTGAGATGAGATAGTTTGAGTGGCCTGGATAGAAGATCAGACCAGCTACAACATTCTCTTAAGACAAAGCCTAATCCAGAGCAGGGCCCGAACTCTCTCACTCTGTGAAGGCTGAGAGAGGTAAGGAAGCTGCCGGAGGAAAGGCTGAAGCTAGAAGAGTTTGGCTCATGAGATTTAAGGAAAGAAGCTGTCTCTATAACGTGAAAGTGCAAAGGGAAGGAGCAAGTGCTGATGGAGAAGGTGCACGAGTTATCCAAGAGATCTAGCTCAGATAACACGTGTAATATTTCATAACTCATCCTTCACCTCCGTTTATCGTTAGTAAGTAAAAGTCTGTAGAATCATGTCCAAAAGATGCTTCTATTCTCTTGCTATCTGGCAACCAATCCCCTTCTCCCCTCCTCCCTTTGGTTTTGTATCTCAGCTCCTGATACACTTTGGTTGCCACTGGCATCTGGATTCACTTTTTATTCTGGATGTCAACTTACTTTCCCTTGGGTCAGGCTGTGGAAAATACGCTCTCTCCTATTTCCATGCTTTTGAGTGTGCTATTGCTGCTGCCTAAATGTCCTTCTTCCATTGCCTGCAGGTGGAATTCCTATTCTACCTTTAGAAATCACTTCAGGCAACACCTTCTCCTGGAAGCTGGCCTTTATATGTCCCTTCCCCCACTCTGGGACTCCAAGCTTTAGGAAGATATTTCTCCCTCCAAGTTCCTCCAGCATCTAGATCTTGTCTGTATAACACCACTTACTAGAAGTAATAATGTAATAAAATAATTACTAGGTACGGCTCAATGAAATGTTGGATTGCATTTGACAGCAGTGGAACCAGTGACAGATGACTTAGTGAAAAAGTAAAAGCCTCTATGGAGGGGAGAAAAAGCCATAGGGGAAGAAGTTTCTACCCAATCTGACTCATTTTGAATATGATTTCATCTGACCTTGGCATCCCCCCTCAGTCGTGATCCTAGTATTTGCTCTGTGGCCTTCCAACTACATCCTCTGGTAGAAGCTGCTCCCTATATGGTCCTATAGGATTGATAGTCAGGCATACTTCTGCGCTATCTCTCTTTCAGAGAGCAGCTTCCAATCTTAGATTATAAATCACGTGAGATCAAAGATCACATACTATTCAGATGTGTGTCCCCAGGATGGGAGCACGGTGCCTGGCAGAGAGGAAATGCTCAGCGAATACATTTTAAACAAATGAGTAAGTAGGTGTTCTCTCAGAAGCTGCTCTATATCTTGTTAAGTGGTATCCTGCAGCCCTGGTGCAAACATTCCAGAGGACAAGCACAAGCTTAAATCACTTTTAATTACTGAATATCAACTGGATTCCCCTGACTATATTCTACTCAGTTGACTAGACTTTGCGTATGTTTTGTTATATCTTTTGGAAACAGGGTTTAACTGTCTGGCTAGGCCTCTGGAATCCATTCCTATAATCAGGTTAATTCTTTTAGCTCATGAAGTAGCGTAAAGTTCTAGCATATGGTGCTAGACTGACAAGGCTAATAGCAGAATCTCTCTTGGAGTAATTTCTGCAGGGCCTCACTTTACAATGAGGCCTAAAAACTAAAAGCTAGACATAACTGAGCTTTATCTCATAACAAATGTGCTAGGAGTAAACATTTGGATTCACAAATACATAATAAATTGCAACCTTCTCTACACTAGGAGGATAAAGTATCACTGAAATCTAGATTGTATTGCTTTGACTGAATCCTAAGATTTCTCTAGAGATTTCAGGCTAGCACTAGGTGAACACCACAAATAAGACCTGATTCTGGCTTCATTTATCCTTGGTTTCATTCAGAGGAACTGCCAAAGCTAGAACCACAGAAGTTCTTCTGGCCTCCTCTTACTGCCTTATCAGTAAATGCTAGCACTGTAACTTTATGCATTACAAATAATTATACGACAAAGAGAAAGAACTTTGTAATATTGTAGGAACCGTCATGAGTTATAGGGGATAAAACAGTGTTTATGCATTCAATAACTATTTACCAAAGGTCTATTCTGTGTCAAGAAGGTCAGTTGCTTCTCTTCACATTGACGAGTTTAAGGGGCAGCAATGTCCTTTACTCAATGCCAACCTGGTGCACTACCCACTAGACTATGCTTGTCTTTCTGAAATTTCCCAATACCTTCACAAACCAAAGACACTTGAGTTACATAATTTGTTCATCTTTTATACAGGGCCAGTCAAGGAGACCGAAGCTGAAGCAAGTTATTTCAACACTAGTTAACTGGCTGTTTTCTACATCTGACTGATTATCAAATTAAGCCTGATAGAAATGTTCAAGAAACTAAACGCTGCAGAACCATTATGAGAATACTGACCTACACCTTGCTCAGGCGTCCATAGCTAAACTGATACCACATTTTCATGTTGTCTCCTAAAAGATACAATGGCTGCATCCTTATCTCACCGTTTTCCTCTAGAACCTTATCTTTTCCTAAACTACTTAGCTTTTTGTGATCTATAGTGGTTTGTACTGATTATGTTGCCAACTTTTTTTTCCCTTTTCAATAAAAAAATAAAAATTAAAAGAATAGGCAAGTTCATATACTTACATTACATAATAATTACATTCAATTTTAATTCAACCATCTAAAAAGAATTCAATAACCTCTCACATTCTTCCTGAAAACATTTTTAAAAAGCATTTTAAAAGAGATTTACTTCCTTTTCTAAATTAAAAAAGTGAAAATTCAATTATGATAAAATATATATATAAATGGTTTAAATCAATATCAAGATTTAAATCAGCCCTATTGATTTAAGGGCTCTTGGTTGGCTCAGTTGGTAGGACATACGACTGTTGAGCTGACTTGTGAGTTTGAGCCCCATTTTGGGTGTAGAGATGAAAAACGAAGAAAGAGAGAGAACAAGAGAGAGAAAGAAAGAAAGAAACGGACTTGGAATTAATAAAGAAAAACTTACCTGATAACTTTATCTGGATCTTTAGGAAACTCAGGGCCATTATCTCTCACTGTAAAGAAAAACATAAAAGGATTCTGGTTGACTTGGAAGAATGAATATACAGTTTTATGTAAACTCTTCCCAAAACCTAAATAAAATGGTAATAAAAGAATAAAAATAAAGTATAAAACCTCAAGGAAAGGTAAAGAAAAATGATAAGAGGAATGTTCAAGATGAGGGATGCGTGGATGGCTCAGTCAGTTAAGCATCTGGCTTGTGATTTCAGCTCAGGTCATGATCTCAGGTCGTGAGATTGAGCCCAGTGATGAGCCCTGCATCTAGCCCTATGTGGAGTCCTGCACTGGGCTCCATGCTCAGCAGGAAGTCTGCTTTTCTCCCTCCCCTTCTGCCCCTCCCTCTACTTGCATCCTCTCTCCCTCTCTCAAATAAATAAATAAATCTTTAATTTTTTTTTTTTCCGAGAGGAAAGATGTTAAGTGGTAACTGTCTTAGCCAGGAATTTGAAACCTAATAACATGAGGCGGGACACTAATCAAAAGCATGTGTATTTACACTTCAGAACTTGAGAAACAATTCAGGAATTGGAGATGTTAGATGCCTTTGAAAGGTAGGAGGTATAGCACAGATATCAAATACTTATATCCTCACCCTGTCAAGCAGATGATCACCACTACTGAGGCAGGAGGAAAGATACTTCCTGGAGAAACTGAATCAGAGAGACTCAGAACTGAAGGTTATTAGGTACAAAGCAGGATAAGAGTATGGTGAGGGATTGGAAGCAGCAATTAAATCACATAAATCTTATTGGATAGAAAAGACTCCTTATTCTTTCCCACTGTCCAATTCTCAGAGTTTAAGCAAATAATGTCTCTCTCTCCAGGCACAAGACTGGAGGATTGTTTTCAGGAGAAATAGTCAGGCCTGACTATTGACTTGGATAGGTCTTCACTAAATAAACTAATAAAGAAAGATATAAAACCATCAACAAGTCTAGTCTGTATTCAAATATTTCTAATATTTTTAATGATTGATTTCCATTCTTCATATGTCCATCAATGGACAAGGATCACTATAAATTTGTGTAAAGTCATTATCATGAAAGATAATAACCAAAACAAATAAGCAGGGAGGAAAGCAGGAAATAGAAACATATTTTGCTGGAAATTTTCCAGAGTATAGAACAAAAAACAAAGAGATGGACAGTAGGGAAAAATACAAGTTTCAAAATTAGAGGATTGGATCAGTAGATCCTACATCCAAATATGTGGATATTTAAAACACAATAGTGAAGACGGAGGAGGGAAATGATAAAAGAAATCACATAAGAAAAATTTCAGAACTAAAGGATTCAAATTTGAGATTTAAACATCCTAGTAAATGCCCTATATGATGAGCAAGGAAAGAAAAAAACAGACATACGCAAAACTACATAAAAAAACGTCCAAAAAATGACAGATGCTGGTGAGGATGCGGAGAAAGGGAAACCCTCCTACACTGTTGGTGGGAATGCAAGCTGGTGCAACCACTCTGGAAAACAGCATGGAGGTTCCTCAAAATGTTGAAAATAGAACTACCCTATGACCCAGCAATTGCACTACTGGGTATTTACCCTAAGGATACAAACGTAGTGATCCGAAGGGGCACATGTACCCGAATGTTTATAGCAGCAATGTCTACAATAGCCAAACTATGGAAAGAACCTAGATGTCCATCAACAGACAAATGGATAAAGAAGATGTGGTATATATACACAATGGAATACTATGCAGCCATCAAAAGAAATGAAATCTTGCCATTTGCGACGACGTGGATGGAACTAGAGGGTATCATGCTTAGCGAAGTAAGTCAATCGGAGAAAGACAATTATCATATGAGCTCCCTCATATGAGGGAGAGGAGATGCAACATGGGGGGTTAATGGGGTAGGAGAAGAGTAAATGAAACAAGTTGGGATTGGGAGGGAGACAAACCATAAGTGACTCTTAATCTCACAAAACAAACTAAGGGTTGATGGGGGGGAGGGGGGTTGGGGGGGTGGGGTTATGGACATTGGGTAGGGTATGTGCTATGGTGAGTGCTGTGAAATGTGTAAACCTGGCGATTCACAGACCTGTTACCCCTGGGGATAAAAATATATTATATGTTTAAAAAAATAATAAAATTTATTAAAAAAAAAAAAAGTCCAAAAATTTCAGGGGCACCTGGGTGGCTCAGTCGCTTAAGTGTCAGCTCAGGTCATGATCCCAGGGTCCTGGGATCAAGCTCCTGCCTCAGGCTCCCTGCTCAGCAAGGAGCCTGCTTCTTCTTCTCCCTCTGCCTACTGCTCCCCCCTGCTTGCTTTCTCTTCATCAAATTAAAAAAAAAAAATTCATTTATTTTTTTTTAAAGATTTTTTATTTTTTTAAAGATTTTATTTATTTCACACACACACAGAGAGAGAGAGAGAGAGAGAGAGAGAAACAGAGAATAGCAGAGTGAAAGGGAGAAGCAGACTCCCTGCTGAGCAGGGAGCCTGTTGTGGGGCTCAACCCCAGGACCCCAGGATCATGACCTAAGATGAAGGCAAACACTCAACCCACTGAGTCACCCAGGTACCTCAAATAAAATCTTTAAAAAAATTCAGATCCGTAGGGATAAAGAGGAAATTTTAAAAGTTTTAGAAGGAAAAAAATCACATGTAAAGAATTGGACATATGAGTGAAATCAAACTTCTCAAGAGCAATACTATAAACTATAGGTAATAGGATCTTTACAATTCTGAAGTAAATTTCCAAACTAAATTGTGAACATAAGACAGTGGAATAAATACACTAGTAGGTATATAAAGTAATAAAAGATTTAGCTCTCATGTACTAGCAAGCTCCTAGAAGAAATGCTCCAATAAAATGAGGGAGTAAACCAAGCAAGACAAAAGCAGGGGATCAAGCAGGAGCTCCAATTTAAGAAACAGGCAAAGCTTCATCCCAGGATACCTACCGGAGAACTGTCAACTTAGAACTGGAGGAGGATGCAGTGCCAGAGAAAAGAGGTCTCCAAGGGAGTGAAATGCAACCGATGGACTACCTGGGAGTTGTTTTACAGATTTGTCACAAATTTTAGGGGAAGAATAGATTGTAGATATATTAAAAAACAAAAAGCAAGGGAATCAAAAATTGGGCCATTTGTACAAGGGAAGAAAAAGAATCATTCATGGTTCTTTTGTGACAAATAATTATTAAGCCATAGTAAGTATTAATGTAACCAAACTATATTAGGAAGACAGGGAGAGAAATATAGATGGAAGGAGTATAAATCTAAATCTCTATATTTCAGATGAAGCCTATAAATAATATCTAAAACTGAACACCCCAGAAATATTGGTATTAAAAAAAACTTGGAAATATAGTCATAAGTTCCAGGAGAAATATGTGTTGAAAGCTGTTGGTAGTTTGTGGAGGTGGGGCAGCACTCAACAATGGAAGGCGTGGGGTACCAAGGTCTGCTATGTTTCATTAAAAACCAATATGTATGCTTCCAGAGAAGATGGTAGAGTAGAATCCTAAACTCACCTTATCCCATGGATACAACTAGATAATACCCACATCCGTGTAAATAACCCAGAAAACAACCCAAAGATTCTTCACAGCTAAAGGCAGTGAAGGGGCCAAATCAAAGAGGGTAGGAGGGGCAGAGACTTGGTCAGGAGCCAAACAGACCTGTAGACTGTCTACAGGAGGGAGGGAAACCACGGTTGCAGAGACAGGAAGGAAACAGATCCTCACACCAGGCACTGCAGGGACAAGGAACCTGGATGAGGAAGATGAATCCCCATGACATTTGGCTTTGAAAACCAGAGAGGCCTAACAATCAGTGGGGCTTAACACTTTAAAAATCAGCAAGCTCTGCTTTAGGAGAGCCAGGAGGGTGACAGGAAACTGAGTCCCTGCCCTTAAAGAGACAACACAACAAACAGCCCTGCTGAGATACTGCACAGAAGCAGCAGTTTGAAAAATACCTGGAGTATATGGGAAGAAAATTTATTGACCAATCTCAGAGCATGTGCTGGATGGGCAAGGAACTTTGAGAGGCTTCTCCAAGAATAAAAGAGCTATTGTATGCCATTTGCCTCCTCTGCCACCAAACCTAAACACATGGACATCTGCAGGAACCAGTACAGCACCAACAGTCCACCTAGCTGGCTAATAGCTTTCCCTGTCTCCCTGTTCTTCTGTGGAAATGCCATCCAAGCCTGGATAGTTTTCCTAGGCAGTTGCAGATTCCCTCCTACAACAGACCCACACAAACCTTGCTAAAACCACAATCCCTGACCTTGCTTTCTCCTGCTGACCTGCCGTCTCAAATACACCTTTGGTGGGAGCCCATCCAAAGTGGTACTACAAGCCTGGCAGCATGCAAGCAGCCCCAACAGGGGCCAGCACCACCCCAAAGTGACTCCTGAACTGGGGAGAGGGGAAGAGAACCACACACACCAGTCCAACTGTGGCCCCAGCAGTGGGTCACAAAAGCTTCTCAGGAAACTACACATGGAATGTGCCCAGCAATTTGATTCTACTGCATCTCTGGTAAATACCCGGTCTGACTCAACTCAAGTCCAAAGTGGCCCCAGACTGACTAATATCATAAGGACAAAAGCCTGCTCACAACAGGAAAAGAGAGCCACTGCAAATGACTGGATGGAAGAAAAAAGTGGCTCATCCACAACAGCAGAGCACATGCAAAACACATAGGAGATACCCCTGAATCATCAAGTTCTGGTGAACAGGGGATATTGGACTGCAGGGCACTACAGGACCTCTTCATGAGGTCACTACTTTGCCTTCCTAACACAAAGACACAGACACAGAAAGTTAGACAAAATGAGGAGACAGAAGAATAGGTCTCAAATAAAAGAACAGGACAAAATCACAGCAAGAGAGCTAAACAAAACGGAGATTAGGTAATATGTTTGATAGATAATTTAAAGTAATGGTCAAAAAGATATTCACTGGACCTCAGAAAAGACTGGAGGACCTCAAGGAGACCCTCAACAAAAAGAAAACAAAAAGAACCA